CTGGCCGGGGCGGGCAGGGACGTGCCTCCCCGAAAGGTCCCCTCCGATCTGCAGAGGCTTCCTTTGTGTGCCGCGGAAGGGGGAGCCGGCAGCCCCGGAATCCCGCGGAGTCGGGGGGCGTCGCGAGGGAGACTTCGGGACCCAGCGCGACCCACCGGGGCGGGGGATTCCCCGCTCCCCAGCCGAGATTTCCCCTGCAGAAACGGTTGGGGGGAGTGGGGAGACCTCGCTTCCCGCCTCGACCTGCTCCCGGCGGCGGTCCAGGTGGGAGCACCTTGATGCTCGCTCCTGTCGGAAGGGTTGGGGAACCTTCTGGGCTCGAGCTGATTTTTCTTCCTGGGTCCAAGGGCTTCTCTGCCCCTTCCCGTCCAGAAACCGTTGAGGCCAGGATCCTTCTGCAGGAACCCGGTGCTGGAAAGGAAGGGGGAGCATCTCTCAGCCCCTCCAGGTGACCCCGCTCTGCTCTGTAAAGCCGGCTGCTTTCAGTCACCCCCAGCCCGGAGGGCCTTTAGGAGGTGCTCAGACTACAGCCCCATCCTCCCCAGCCAGCTGGGGGTACTGGCTGAACAAGGCGTGCCATGGCCTTCCAGGGGACGATGGGTGGAGGTGCCTGCCAGAGGAGAGGGGCTTGGCTTGCCTTAAGGGCAAGAAAACAGGTAGAAGGAACACACACACACACACACACACACACAGACCCACACCTGCTCCTCATACTTCTGTGCAGAAATTTGAAGTGGGTGGGGCAGCTCCCATCCTGCATCCTTTCTATGGGGAAGTGTCTTCCCCACCTCTTCTCTCTTTGGGCCGCGCTGCTTGCAGATGTCAGGGGTCAGGAAAAGGTCCCCCCACCCCAGGACAGCCAAGCTGAGATGGATGTGTGCCCCCCACCCCACCCCACCCCACCCTCTTTCTTCCTCCTAGCTGCAGAGATAGAAATACTCTCTTTCCAGCTTGGGTGAATCCAGAAGGATATGCAAAGAGGGAATCCCTAGGGCATGCAGGAACGAGAATAATAGAGACACAGAAAAAAAGGGGGGGGCAGGTTGGACTACAGTTCCCATGATACTCAGCAATGGGAGAAGCAGTCTTGCCACTTCAGAAGGGAAGTGGGACCTGAAGCCTGCATCCTATGGAAGAAAGAGAACATCTACCTCTATCTATCTATCTATCTATCTATCTATCTATCTATCTATCTATCTATCTGTCACCAAGATAGGTGTGATGGCCCCTTAGAGAAAAAAAGATTGACACATTAGACCAATTGAAATGACAGAAAAGATAGTTGCGTTTAACACACAGGCACCCGTGTGTGTGTGTGTGTGTGTGTGTGTGTGTATTCCTAGATTCCAGCCCTGCTGCTTTCAGAGAGAAGAATAATTCCATGTTGTTCAGATTTCTTCCCTCTGAAACATCCCCCAAATATAGTTTACGCAGGGCTTCCTTCTCTCCAAATCGATCATTTGCCTATGATGTCATTGGAAATGCAGGACTCAGAAAACAGCCCTCTGAAATTTGCATCTTCTTATCACTCCCGGGCTGCAGCTGATCATGCACTGAATGGCAGGTCTTCCTCCCGCTTGCTCTCAGTGTTGGGTTCTGCTTTTTGGGGGTGTTTCCAGAGGGGGTCTCCCTTTGGGGAAACTGGTTTCTGCTCCTCTGAATGGTGTCACAGCTTTTGGGGACCCCCCTCTCCAAATGGGGCTGATTTTAGGCAGAACCTCTCCCATCTCACTGAAGAAGCTGGTGGTATGTTCTTACAAAACAGAACGAAAAACCCAAAGGGGGGGATTTCTCTGCTCACATCTTCGCCTTTCCTAAGCAGACTTTGGCATGCTCCTAGTCATGCTGGCCAACACATGAAGTGGCCAAGCGGGAATTAGCAGTGGCTCTTAAGCAGAACCATCCAGATAAAAGGAAGTCTCTGGATGGAGCAGATGGCTACAACCTGGTTACCAGGAGGACCTGCCTGCCGGAGGGGCTGCCAAAAGCAGGATGGTGGTGATTTGCAGCCCAACAGAACTCTCCATGGTGCTTAAAAGAGTTTAAGACCAGCTAAGTTGAAAACAAGATTTTGCCTGACATGCCAGAGCAGCATTTCTCAACCTTTTGAGCGGCCTTCGCTCGGCAAGGCTGTGCGCTCCCCCAACCCGCCCCTCCCTCCGGGCGG